CCAAAATTCAGAGTAGGGTTTGAGCGGTGAAAACCAGTTTTTTGTTTTTTTTAATGAATGAACCAATTTCTATGATACTACATACAATGAATGCTCAGCATGTGAAGATTTGCTTGACTATGTATGGAAGATGACATCAATTAAATGAGTTTCTTTACCGCCTTGCAAAGTTGGACGCTTTCAATTGGATTGTTCACTACAAAAGCGAATGTTAGAGACTCAGATTTATGCATGGATATTTTCCTTGATATCTGCGTTAAAATAATGGACATGCCATTTTGAGATTTAAATTCCACTATTTTTTCCCGTTGTAACTCCATGAAATTACCCATGATGAATTGACCAAGACTCATTTATACTATGTACATGCAAGTGAAAAATTTAACTACTAACAGTTATTTACCTGTCAAATCCTACTCTTAATATTGGTGCACCCTTTATATTATACATATCGTAAGTATTAAGGCCGTTTGGCCTGTATTTGTGGGAGGGGCTTAAATTAATTCACTCCCCTATATAAGGGACACGCCTTACCTGACTCATATCGCTTGAGGTCAGCATCAGAATGATTTCCACTTCCGGGTCATCCAGACGCCATTTTACCTGATTACTCCATGAGGTTTTCTAAGCAGAGCTGTGTCAGGAATCCAGCCACAGGCTTTTCCGGCCTCCCACCTTCTTTCTTCAATCCATCGCCGTGGATGGTGTCCAAGTGACTCACAAACCGTAAGTCGACCTACCCGTTACGCCAGGCATCAGTCCCACGGCACCATGCACGGGTCAGGTCCTCACTTTACGGCTGCATTTTGTCTATGTCTGTTCTAAAACCATTGCATGTTCATGCATATCATTCGTTTAAACCCCCTACCGGTCTTTGGGTGTACTACAGGCTTCTTAGACATTATTGCATTTCATGTACAAACCAACGAACCACTGCATTTTCGCCTACACACTGACCCCTACCGGTCTTTGGGTGTACTACAGGCTTCTTAGACATTATTGCATTTCATGTACAAACCAACGAACCACCTGCATTTTCGCCTACACACTGACCCCTACCGGTCATTCGGTGTACTACAGGCTTCTTAGACATTATTGCATTTCATGTACAAACCAACGAACCACTGCATTTTCACCTACACACTGACCCCTACCAGTCATTCAGTGTACTACAGGCTTCTCAGACATTATTGCATTTCATGTACAAACCAACTAACCACTGCATTTTCGCCTACATGCTGACCCCTACCGGTCAATCAGTATACTACAGGCTTCTCAGATTTTATTCCACTTCATAAGCAAACAAACTAACTACAGCATTTTCGCTTTTATACTGACTCCTATCTGTCAAATGGTAGCATTAACCCCTTAAGGACACATGACATGTGTGACATGTAATGATCCCCTTTTATTCCAGAAGTTTGGTCCTTAAGGGGTTAAAGGGTATTTTAACATACAATCAGCATTTCTGACCCCTAGTGGTCAACAGCAAAACTGTCTTCACATGTCATATACAATTTACCAGCCAATATAAATTACACATAAGATTGTTTTAAACATAACTATAGACCATAAATTAAACTCCAGCACGGGCTCAACTTCAGGTTTAATTCACAATAATTTACATTTCACATCAAGACCAACAGTGGTTCTATCAACACTGCCACCTACAGGTCTGTCAAGTACATTGACAATTTTCATGGGGTTTTACAAACACCAAAACACTGACACCTATAGGTCAACAGACAAACAACATTTCACATACCAATCAGTATCCAACTACAGTGCCACCTATAGGGCACTCGGCAGATCTCCAGTGCACTTGCATTTTGCAACACCATGTTCACTGACCCCTACCATTCAATAAGACATACAACAATTCACATAGCAAGCACTATATCAACATCTGGTATAAATACATATATTATTACACAGTAGCAGACGCATCTGTATATATGTAACTGGTAATATAGTTCACATACATTTTTCACAGCACGCTGCTCCCGCAACAGACTTCCCCTAGCAAGGGGACATACAACATACAAGGTGGGGACCACATTTTCACTTGTACATACGGCACTTAATGGGTTAAGATTGATACATATTTAACCAGTATGGCTACGATGTTTAATATTTACACATCACGTCACTTTACTTTTCACATATACTGTACGTATTAAGATAAGCTTGGTCTATGCCATATTTCCTTATGCCATATGGTTTTATCCATTCAGGTTAGAGTTACTACTAAAAAACCTATACGGATTGTCAGGTTCAACACCATACTACCAGGTACATACACCTGATCACGTAGTTATCCATCTCTTACCTTCCCTGGAATAGTAATAGTGTACTGGCAATTAGGGTTCTAGGGCCCAATAGGTATTACCCCCTTTTTTCTCTGCATTATGCTTCGATTAGTGGTCCCGTGAGGCCAGCACCCCGCCTCACACTCGGAGGCATACACCCCTCGGGCCACTCGTGATCTAGCCGCCTCACATTGTATCATAGAGAGGACCTCACCTGTCACTCCCTTCCTATTTTCTGGTTACTGTCACCGAGAGGCCAACATCCTGCCACAACGTTCGGTGGCCACACAAAATCCCCTCGCGCCAAGCATAGATAGAGCCTCTCAAGCCACTTGGCAACTAGCAGGGCCTCACCAGTCACCAAAAAAAACACCAAGCCTAATCGTTTCGCCTTACGGCTTAGCTAGCAAGCCAGTACAAGAACCCTGGGTACAAATAATAATTGCAATCTTTATTGTTATTTAAGTATTTCTCAAAAAGATGGTGAAGAATCACCTCTTCCTAGCACCCCGGCTAGAATTGATACACCTTCAAGCAGAGGAGATGTTGCTAGTCCAGCAGCAATCAGATCCTGGACGATCCCACACATTACCACCGACCTAAGGAGGTGACAAATCCCCTACCCTGCTACAGCAAGGAAAGCAGTTATTCAAACTCCTCCATACATCAACGAACAACACGGAGGCAGGGGAAGGCCCAGCTACATCAACTCAGGTGGCACCCAGGCTATGCTAGCTTCACTCATAAACTCATGAGCCAAAAAAAATTTATGACAGACTGGCAATCTCGAGTTGGTCACCACAGCCCTCACAAGGCTGGGCCTCACGCTACTGTACAACCAGCACCAACCGAAACTCGGTTACCTGGTACAATCAATTCTTATGACACACAAGATGTTAAACCTGCACGTATGATCCCAGCACATTCGGGAAGCAAGGCGTATGATGATGTATCTGTGATGGTCAGATCCAGGGATTCCAGGTAAATCGGGAACTGACCATCCCTTGGTTGGGTTGGCATTTGGAATATGTGGAGATGTTTATTTGTGCAGGTACCTATACAGAAGGGATTTTGTCCCAAACAAATGGACGAGCACTCTCAGGCTCCAGGTACCAGCACCTCTGAACTACCAGAGACCACTGATATAGTGCATTGCATACAGACTGTTGCATAGATGTTCAAATAGTTCAGGGCACATGACAAACCATGTGTCCCAATACAACTTACAAATAACGTATTCACCATCTGTACACACCAATGCATTTTCAACACTACTGACTCATCACCCTTCCAGACTTGTAGTAGATTTACTAAAGCTCTGGAGCTTCAAAGGGCTCCCATACAGGTATCATAAACACACCTTCAAGGAATATAGCATGCCCTCACTTACAGTCAGCACAACAAAACCATTGGCTGTAAACACACTCATAGCCAAGATTTGCAGAGGGGTCTTCCAATCTCCACCATTTACAGCATGGCACCAAACACACACATTGGTATTGTCACAAGGAATCTTCCCTTAAACAAAGACTAACCATAGACTTATTGGCACCACACACCTCCGCTACCCCAAGTCTCAACTCCCTCATACCCTCCGTGGATTTTTCTTACTATACAACACCATTGATCTACCTTTACAGCTATCACTCAAGCATGGGTGGAAGCTTGGTTAAGTAAGACCAATATCATCAACGCAGTAAACGGCTACAATCTACCCTACACACTGGCACTTACATGGCATAAATTGGGCAATCCTTTCCCCGCTCAACTTTCGAGCTACAGATTAGCCTACTATCGATATTCGCAGATACTCTGTGCTGGTTATGATAACATATCCAGAGGCCTTACAGTCATACACTATCTAGAAGACTTCTTGTTAATCAAAGAAAGCATATTTTTCACTAGAAGCCTCACGGCAGCTTAGTCTGGTTGACCACTTGGGCGTCCCAGTACCCCATAAGAAACAGAAGGCCCAGACACTATCTTCACATTACTGGGCATATGACTTGAGTCGGCATCCATACACGCAAGTTACCACAAGACAAATAGGGAACATTCTCAACTACATCAATCACTACCTCCTGCTTAGTACTTACAACTGCAAGGAACTACGATCCCTACCAGGTTCCTTAATTTTGCCATGCCAATCATACCACAAGACCACGCTTTCACATCCAGAGTACTTTCCCCTTTTTTTCCACACTTCCAACATGATGATCAGAGGATGTCCCTAGACACCTCAGCAACAGCAGACCTGCACATGGAGGGGAATTTTTTAACCACTTGGCATGGTAAAAGCATGTTCCTTCCAGGATTGTCTGACACTTCTCCAACCAGATGGTCAGACGCAGCGTCTACCACGGGTTTGGCAGCGATCTACCGGGAACAATTGCTTTGGAGCTGTTGGCGATGGCATCCAGGTTTGGAAATTTTTCCACCACCTCAGCCCCTTTGGGAGATCTACCCCATTGTAGCAGCTGCTGAGGCATGGGGTAAATCATGGTCAGGGTCATCAATCCGTTGTTACTCAGGCAACTAAGCATATGTCATATCATCAACAAACGCCACTACTCATCCATAAGGTCATGATATTTCTGGGGAACTCACTTGGTTGGCCACTTATCACATTTCACTTTCATGTACCAGACGGGGGTATACATCCCTGCCGACAACTGTATCATTTATATTCCAGGCATGTTCATCATACGCTTCCTACAGCCGCCCATACAGTCATGGCCACTCTTTCGTTCCAGAGACAAAATCATGGATTAGACATACTCATGCAGCATAGCATGCACTATCCCACCTAGCACTTTCGTCCCATACTTGAAGAACACATAACACAGCTTTTCACCTGGCTTAAAGAATCTCATTGGCACACGACATAGCTTAACCTGTGTCATAACATTTCTGCTAGGTTTTGCTTCTTTTTGCCACCTTAAACTTAAACTATCTCACACACCATTAATTATATATTTTACAGGCATTCAACAACACAGGATAACCTATGGCAAAAACTACCATAACTTCATGCTATCATACCAGACAAGAATATACTCAGAGGTTTTCAGGAATCCATTCCCCCACGTTCCTCTCAGAGATTACCAATAGCCATCCAACTTTTCATCATTATCGGACCTATTAGATCTACAACCATTCAATTATACTACCAAGTCGGCCATTACCAGCTATGCACATTGCCTTTTATGCCTTTCTCAGGCCAGAGAATCCACTACCATCACCACCACTCAGACAGATCATTGTCTTCAACGATCCCACGTACGTAAACACATATATCATTACCTATTGGCTCTACCACATTCCGAAACGAGTCAACACGCACCAACAGTAGAGATAACATACTATCCTACCCACAACAAATGGTGCCCACTTTCGGTCCTAGATTCCTACCTTCAAAATCCTTTAAGGAATTAAATACTGTAATGCTTTTAAGGAAATGTCTGGTTATTTTGTATATATTTGTTGACTGTATTAAATCTTTGATTATTCATTTTTGCCCTCTTTATTTACAGGCCTACCGTATCGTCGGTCTCGGCACACCACAACCGACTTGCTCCCTTTATACTATCCTAAGCTTATGCTGGATCCTTACTCCATATACGGCTATTTGCCCCTTACACAAGTATTAAGGCCGTTTGGCCTGTATTTGTGGGAGGGGCTTAAATTAATTCACTCCCCTATATAAGGGACACCCCTTACCTGACTCATATCGCTTGAGGTCAGCATCAGAATGACCCTCCCACCCACTCCTCATTTCAACACTTTCTCTTTTCTTTCCATTTACTTTACTTTCTTACTCCTTGGTGGGCCCTCTTTATTTACAGGCCTACCGTATCGTCGGTATCGGCACACCACAACCGACTTGCTCCCTTTATACTATCCTACGCTTATGCTGGATCCTTACTCCATATACGGCTATTTGCCCCTTACACAACTATTGAATGTAGTGTGTGTGTATATATTGTATATTCGGTGTATACCTGTATACACTGCAGATTGTATATAGAATACACAGGATATATGGTATATATGAGTAAAGTGCCTGTAGAGTGTATAGTTCATTTAAGCATAACAAGAACATTTAGAGTATATAAATATTGAATGTAGTTATATATTGTATATTAGGTGTATACCTGTGTACATTGCAGATTGTATATAGAATACAAAGGATATGTCGTATATATGTGTTTAGTGCATGTAGAGTGTATAGTGCATTTAATCATAACAAGTATATATAGAATATATAACGAATGAATGTAGTACAGTGTGTGTGTGTATATATATATATATATAATATTATACATAACGTAACTATTGAATATAGTATATATATTGTATATTTGGTGTATAAATCTATAGATTTCAGATTGTACATAGAATACACAGGATATATGGTGTGTGTGTGTGTGTGTGTGTGTGTGTGTGTCTATACATTTCAGATTGTATATAGAATACACCCCTGATATATGGTGTATAGATGTATAAAGTGTATGTAGAGTGCATTTAAGCATTACAAGTGTGTATATATAGTATATATATTGTATATTCGATGAATACCTGTGTACATTGCAAATTTTATATAGAATACACAGGATATATGGTGTATATATGTATGTTGTGCATGTAGAGTGTATAGGTCATATATACAGTATATAATGCATTTAAGCATAACAGGTATACATAGAGTATATAATCTACATATACATGAGTATAGAGTGCATACAATGTATAGAGCTTAGGTAGAGTTTTTAGATCGAGTATATGACTAGAGTAAATCATTAGCATATAGAATTTATATATTATATATGTATACATTGTGTAAACAGTATTTATAATATAGTGTTGCATAGTTACATAATACGTATTATGTGCACAGTTAAGAATATAATGCATATAAATAGATATACATATTTTCCATGATAGCAAAGAGCAATTTAGTTTTTTGTTTTTTAATTAGGGATACATTTTCATATCCAAACAACTGGACAACTGAAGAAAAAATAAAAGCCAGGATATGAGGAAATAAATGACAAATGGATCAGCAATACCAGAAGGAGCCACCAGAACCACAGCCACAGAAAATCTTGCAAAATAAAGGACTCCACTACAGCTTTAAATTGAGGGAAATACATCACTAAATTTGTGGACCCACAAACAACAGTACGACTCTTGAAAGAATGTTCAGGCATACGTAGGGCAACAAACCAAGCACCAGAACCACTACAGCTTAATGGAGAAGCATTTTGTAGCGGAGCTGCAATCTTAAATCCCAATATCTCTGCTGGTAAAAGAAGGTAATCCAAGGAAAGCGCTGAAAATGAAGGCAATATCCCAAATCCCCCCAGTAACCGGACGAAACACAGTTCTGGGAGTCAACTGACGATTTTATTCAAAAGCTCCAGTATTTATGTGGTTCCCCATCCAAGGGGTTTCCTTAATTACTTTACAGGGGTTGTACAGTAGGTGACTACATGGGGGACTTAACATACAGAACATTTCTCCCACCATGCACTGCTGTACGAGAGAGATACTTCCACTAGAATATCCTGTTAAGTGGATTATCCCTTTGTACAGCAGTACATAACTTCATTTTATTCATGACACTATACCGAATGACCGTTCGGCAGATAGCTGGGGTCTGAACGCATACTTTGTGAAAGTACCGCTCAGATCCCAGCCTAATCAGTCGAATGCCGCACAAAATATACTTTAATATACATTCCTCATAAAAGTCACGAATACATAAGTGGGGAAAAAGTACCGGAAGACCGGTGCTCCCGAACGGCTTGGAAGTCCAACGGTGTTCGTGCCGTCGAGTAGCCGATTTTAGTTGCAGGCACTTGACGACCAAACATCGCTGAGCAAAAAGGGAATCCAAGATGGCCGCCGCCTCGTGGTCAGTAGCCGAATGACGGCCACCCAGGGAATCAATTAGCAGCCGATAGATACATTGTTGCGATCGGTTAATGGGAGCCACATAACCCCCTGTGTGTGGGCTCCCATTCGGTACTTTGTTCGTTTCACGAACAGTGTTGAAAATCACTGTTCGTGAAACTACCATATGAATGCTAGCAGATTTCGTGCAACTAGCATATGAATTCCCTCTTTCACATTTTAACCAAACACATCCAACATCATATATAAACCAGTCTTTCTAGGGCAACCCTTAAAATGAAACAAAATAGTCTGAAGTGGCTAGGTTTGCCACACATTTGATTGCTTCATCTGTAAAGATAATTTTAGCCGGAGAGAATTGGCATCTGTGGTGAAAACAGAAACCGTC